TCCCAAAGTGCTGGGAAAACAGGCATGAGCCACCGCGCCCTGCTGGTTCTATGGGCATTGTCGAAGTGACCACTAACAAGCCCCAAGGGTATGTAAAGGAAAATGAAAGGTGATTGATTTCTCACCACCTCTCCCCGTTTTTCCTCTACACCTTTGCCCCTGCTCCCCAATCTAGACTCTAATAAACAGAAATGATTTCTGTTGCAAGCTGAAAACTCGTTAGAGTGGTTGGGGCTGGGAGGTGGCAAGTCAAACTTTACAGTTGTCTGGATAATAAATGCTGTCTTCAAGGACTGTCCGACATTGTAGGAACAAGAGAAGAACCCAAGTGAACAACGAACTCCTGTCCACAAACGCTGCTGCCTCTCTGCCATCTCCTAACCTCAGCCTCACACACTTGAATTTCGCCAATCCATTTGATGAGCTGGTATCAGTGAATTTTCTCCTGGCCAAAGTTCACAAATTTTGTTCCCCGCTTCTTGCCCCATATCCAGGCATTAAAAACCGCGTTGTCCCTTTGCCTGATATTCTGGCATCAAGCCTCCTTGCCATTCCAATTTATTTCACCTTCCTCCAGTCCTTATTATTTCCTTCCTGGAGAGTATTTCAGGATCTCTATGCCTCAGTCTCCCCTGCACACCACACCAGTTCAGCCTTACTATCACGTCACTGAGCTGTGTTTCGCCCGGGTTAGACAGCTTCAGTGGTTGAAGTCTATAGATCTTATTCTGTTTTTCGAGGTCCACTTGACCCTGAATTCAGCTGACATTTCTGCCCTTAGCTTCTACCCCATTCTACTTCTGGTTAACTATGGACCACACTGCTTCTTCGGGAACCATCTACCAAGGTCGTATCCATCCTTCAAGGGCAACACGTGGGCCATTCCTGATCATGTCAGCTCAGCAACTTTTCCCTCCTAAATTTCAATTGCTCTTCTTATCATAATCACTAGTATTTGCCCCACTGTACGTCTAGAAAGAAAGTGGTCTTAAACCTAAGGGAAGGCAGTCTGGGTCAGAAATGTGTTGTCCGCTGTGATGAGCAGTTTCTTCTGGGAAGTACCAAGCATTTCTGATAATAGAATTGAGCAATTTCCTGATGAAGTGAGACTCGGCTTGCGCTGTTGACCGGCTGTCCCTGGATGAACTTAGTTACCTTTAACCAAATGTTCCTTTCTTGAACTTGAACTTAATCTACTAACGTTATCTACACGCCTTTCCCCAAACAAACAAACAAACAAAAAACAAAAAAGCCCTCTAGTAGGAAAGAAATCTTTGAACTGGACTTATTGGAAATTACCTCCTTGCAGCAGGTTTGAAACAAAACTTTGAATTTGCCTCACAAAGAATTTGTCTGAAACTGCTTTAGTATATGCTAATTATGTTCGTATGCACATGTGGCTTCATACATAGTGGTTGGACACCCATATGTGCTATGCACTGTGTTGGGTGACGTAAGTTCACAGATAAACTGGACATAGGGCTATCCTCTAGAGGCCCACAGTTTGACACCTTAACCTGAGATCCTTGGACCTTTGAAGTTCAGATTGCCCACTACCATTGGGTGCGGTGGCTCACACTTGTAATCCCAGGGACCTGCGGGGCTGAGGTGGGAGGATCGCTTGAGTCCAGGAGTCTGAGACCAGCCTGGGCAACATGGCAAAACCCCGTCTCAACAAAACTTACAAAACAATTAGCCAGGCCTGGTGGTGCGTGCCTGTGGTCCCAGTTACTTGAGAGGCTGAAATGGGAGGACCACTTGAGTGAAGGAGGTAGAGGCTGCAGTGAGTCGAGAGGGCAACACTGCACCCCAGAAACCCTGTCTCGAACAAAACAGAGCAAAACAAAACAAAGTGCCCATCATGCTCCTGAAACTTCCTACGGATTTATCCAGAGTATGTGCGGATGTGCATTTTTTCCAAGGAGAGAAACCAAAGGTTCTATCAAATTAAGAGAAGAGTTTTTACCATTGTGGAAGACAGTACAGCAATTCCTCAAGCATCTAGAATCAGAAATACCATTTGACCCAGCAATCCCATCAGTGGGTGTATATCCAAAGGAATAGAAATCATTCTACTATAAAGTCACATGCACCCTGTTTATTGTGGCACTATTTACAATAGCAAAATGGAACCAACTGAAATGCCCATCAATGAGACTAGATAAAGAAAATGTGGTACCTATACACCATGGAATACTAGGCAGCCATAAAAAGGAATGAGATCATGTCCTTGGCAGGGACATCGATGAAGCTGGAAGCCATTATCCTCAGCAAACTAACATAGGAACAGAAAACCAAACGCCGCATGTTCTCACTCATAAGTGGGCGTTGAACAATGAGAACACATGGACACAGGGAGGGGGAACAACACACACCAGGGCCTGCTGCAGGGTGGGAGTGGAGTGTGAGGGGAGGGAACTTTAGAGGACAGGTGAGTAGCTGCACCAGACCACCATGGCACACGTGTACCTATATAACAAACCTGCACGTTCTGCACATGTATCCTGGAACTTACATTTTAAAAAAAGAGTTTTTAATCCCAAACAAGATTAACAGCAACTAGAAGAAAGAAAGAGATATAAATAGTGAATTGCGATGCGGCATGGCAGGTGTTATGATGGAGTAGAAAGGAGTGGAAAAGGCCTCCTGGAGGAAGAGACCCTCCAGTGTCTTTCCATTTCACCTGTAAACTCATTAAGGGCAGAAGCTTTGCCATAGCTTCAGTATGAGATCTTGGGCAATTCATGACAAAATGGGTCTGCTTTTGCACTCCCCCCCCCACTTCCTCTCACATCACTGCATTGTGCCATGCAGCATCAACTGGAAACCTCAGTGTCAGCAAACGACGACAGAGCGTTCATCTGCAAGGTGAGCCAGAAGAGCCAGTTCAATGACTTGTTTCACGATGGTCCATCTCAGAACCAAGACTTGGGCCTCTTATTTATCAGAAAAATTGTGGGGGCTTTGTGATGTGGCCTTTAAAAAATCTTGTCATTGCCAGGCATGGTGGCTCACGCCTGTAATCCCGGCACTTTGGGAGGCCGAGGTGGGTGAATCACCTAAGGTCAGGAGTTTGAGACCAGCCTGACCAACATGGTGAAACCCCATCTCTAAGAAAAATACAAAAACTAGCCAGGTGTGGTGGCGAGTGCCTGTAATCCCAGCTACTCAGGAGGCTGAGGCAGGAGAATCGCTTGAACCCGGCAGGCAGAGGTTGCAGTGAGCCGAGATCACGCCATTGCTCTCCAACAACAGCAACAACGACAAAGACATTAGCATAAATTTAAATATTTTATAATGACAATCCATTAACTACTTAAAGCATAAGCTATTTTCCAGGAGAGGCAGGAAGTTCATTCTAGTTCCACGCCCAAGAAGAAAGGAGCTTGACTTTGGTGGGAATACTAGGAAGTTCTACTGAAGCAGTCGCCAGCACAGTGAGAAGCGTTCCTAGAGAGGAAGTTATACCTGCTGTGGAATTTAAGAGAATCTTGTCACATTTGGATAAATTTTTTGAGACAGAAGTCTCACTCTGTCACCCAGGCTGGAGTGCAGTGGCGCGATCTCAGCTCATTGCAGCCTCTACCTCCTGGGTTCCAGCAATTCTTTTGTCTCAGCCTCCCAAGTAGCTGGGATTACAGGCGCCCGCCACCACACCTGCCTAATTTTTGTATTTTTAATAGAAACGGGGCTTCGCCATGTTGGCCAGACTGGTCTCAAACTCCCGACCTCAGGTGATCTGCCTGCCTCGGCAGGCAGATCATTCTCAAAGTGCTAGAATTACAGGCATATGCCACTGCACCTGGCTAATTTTTGGATTTTTTTTTTTTTTTTTTTTTTTTTTTTTTTTAGTAGAGACAGTGGTTTCACCATGTCATCCAGGCTGGTCTCGAACTTCTGACCTCAGGTGATCCCCCTCAGTCTCCCAAAGTGCTGGGATTACAGGCATGAGCCACCGGGCCCAGTCGACATGATGCATTTTGGGACCATGAATTCCTTTGCTTGCCCGGATGGTTTTCTTTTTGTTACTATCTTTGCTTGCTTTCTAGTATTTAAAAAATTGTATTTTGCTCTAACTATGCAATGGCTTTAAGTCTTAGACAAATTTCCAGGGAGCAAAACACAGTCAACCATTTCACAATAATCAGAAGGGAGCTCTGATCAATAAATAAGCAAGACTGAATTTTACAAAAAATTCCAAAGTTTAAAACCAAAGCCCACTTTTTGCATGATCCTTTAAGAGAAAGACAAATCTGGAAGCAAAACACCTTATAAAATGACAATGCACTTTCCGAAGCCCAGGGAACCGTGGTGAAATCATGATGGCTAGTACAGGTTGTAAGTCTTGGGGAATTATTTATGAATTCTCTGGACCCATCAGTTCGCTGCATCCGTCTCCGTTATTTGAATATTGGAGGCTGCCTGATCAGAATCTTGGCAGGACGTTGCTCCTTCATCCCGGGTGGTCCCTGCTGACTCCTCAGGATGTTACAGCCCTGGGGGAGGACTCAGCTTAGGAAGTGCTGGGTGAGACCACTGCCAAGAAGTGCTTGCTCACCCTACCTTCAACGGCAGGGGAATCTCCCTCTCCTTTTATGGGTGTAGCTGAAGAAAGGATTCATAAATGAAGTTCAATCCTTCTCATCAACCCCAGCCCACACCTCCAGCAATTGAACTTGAAAAAAAAAAACCTGGTTTGAAAAATTACCGCAAACTATATTGTCATCAAAAAAAAAAAAAAAAAAACACTTCCTATATTTGAGATGAGAGAAGACAGTGCTAGGCAGTTTCCTGGCTGAACGCACCAGCCCAATACTTAAAGAGAGCAACTCCTGACTCCGATAGAGACTGGATGGGCCCACAAGGGTGACAGTCCAGGCGGACCCATCTTCCCATCCCACATCCTCCAGCGCGATGCCAAAAAGAGGCTGACGGCAACGGGGCCTTCTGCAGAGAAAGACCTCTCTTCGCTGTCCCGGCAGGTCCCAAGGGCCAGGAAGATGGATCCATACCTGCTCATGTGGGGACTGCTCACGTTCATCACGGTGCCTGGCTGCCAGGCAGGTAAGGGCCTGTGGGTGCCTCCGGAATTCCAGGAAGGCTGATGGGCCTCCCTCTCCCCAGCCACAGAGCCAGAGGGAGTCCCCAGGTAGATGGTTCCAAGAAGGGAGTTGAATCTTGGGTTCCACCTCTTGCCCGTGACCCACGGGGACCCCAGTTTATGCCTCAGTGTTCCTTCGTCCGTCAAGAGAGCCTGAAATAGCATTAGGTTCTCCTGTCCTTCTCAGTCCTTGACGATTAATTCTGGGAAGAATGGTGTGGCATGATATTTGGGATACTTGGATGTTAACAGGGCCCTGATCAGCAGGTTCCTCAAGAAATTATCTTTTATTCTTCAGTGAATTTCCTTTCTTCTCTGCACTCCCACCCCCCAGCTAAGAAGCTATCAGGAAGCTCTTTAAGTTCAGGTTAATTTGCTGGAGACATCAGTACTCATATATCAAACACTGAGATAATTTAAGATCTCAAAAAAGTTTAGCTTCAAGGTTGTATTCATTGCTTTTACTGCCTCAGGAAATAATACCTAGGAATTTCCTTACAAGTGCAACTTTACAGAAATTTTTAAAAATATGCATACTCTCTTTTAGAACATTACTACTTCTCATAATACTATATATATACATGATATGTATGTGTATATGTGTTTATATATGCAAATTTTAAATTTCATTCCTTCTTTCAAATGGATTTTCTCAAATTTTTTTTTTGACACTGTCTCCGTCAGCCAGACTGGAGTGCAGTGGCGCGATATTGGCTTACTGCAACCTTCGCCTCCCAGGCTTAGCAATCCTCCCACCTCAGCCTCCTGAGTAGCTGGGACTATAGGCACAAGCTACCACACCTGGTTAATTTATTTTTTTGTACAGATGGGATTTTGCCATGTTGCCCAAGCTGGTCTTGAACTCCTGGGCTCAAGAGATCCACTCACCTTGGCCTCCCATAGTGCTGGTATTACAGGCATGAACCACCGTGCCTGGCCAAGACTTTTTTTTAAAAGAAATAAAAAACCACCAACTTCTACCTCAAACCACTCTTCCTAATTGAGTGTGAATTTTCTAATAATGTCTTCCCTTTGCTTACTCAGGAAGACAGATAAGAAAGTTTATAGTTTTTTTTGAAAGTCTACAATGACAACAAGTAGAATGCCAACTGGCTGCAGAAATAATTTATTAAGAAATGAAGCATGATGATGCATTTAAGGAGTCTGCTTTCTTGTTTAGGGGAAGTGGCCAAGTCATGCTGGGCTGTGTGCTGGCCCAGATGTAGGAATGTCTTTAAAGAGGAAATTTTATTTACTTATTATATATTTTTCATTTTATTTTTATTTTTTGAGACGGAATCTCGCTCTGTCGCCCAGGCTGGCGTGCAGTGGCATGATCTCAGCTCACTGCAACCTCTGCCTCATGGGCTTAAGCAATTCTCCTGCCTCAGCCTCCTGAATAGCTGGGATTACAGGTGTGTGCAAACATGACCAGCTAATTTTTGTATTTTTAGTAGAGATGGGGTTTCACCATGTTGGTCAGGCTGGTCTCAAACTCCTGACCTTGTGGTCCACCGGCCACAGCCTCCCAAAGTGCTGGGATTACAGGTGTGAGCCACCATGCCTGGCCTATATTTTTTATTTTAATAGGTTTTTGGAGGACAGGTGGTGTTTGGTTACATGAATACGTTTTTTAGTGGTGATTTGTGAGATTTTGGTGCACCCACCACTGAAGCACATATGCTGTACCCAATGCATAGTCTCTTATCCCTCACCCACCTCCCACCCTTTCCCCTGAGTCCTCAGAGCCCATTGTGTCGTTCTTATAACAAGGGTATACTTTTAGGAAGGTTTTCAATGTGATTTCTATGTCCACAGGGTCTTTGCTAACTCAGTCCAAGCCAAGAACAGCAAAATCTTGACAATTAATCATGCTCTGCCTCTGGAAGACACATTTCAAGTAAACTCGTGTTATTTCTAGCCATTGGTGACTTATCCAAGGGTCTGAGTGGTCTTGGTGGGAGGAGGGGAAGTAGAGTCCCATAAGGACTCTTTCACACCATTCTCAACATCTATCCATACACCATCTGCCTCTCAACACTATAGGGAATACAAAAATGAGCAAGACATAACCCTGACACTTAAGCAATTTATAACCAGGTGAGGAGGAGAAAAGCATAGATATAAATACAGTAATACCAGTCAGAGTGTGGTAAGATCTACGGAGCCTGGGGCTATCAGAGAAGGCTTCATGAGGGTGACATGTAAAGGGAGCCCCAAGGGACCAGTAAATTTCCATCAATGAGATTCCGGGGAGAGAGGCCCCTATAAGCCAAAACATAGGAGCGCCTTAGGGAGCAGCAGGTGGTCCACTGTGCTCCTACCCTGGACAGGGAGGGTGGGGATATGGGAAATTCAAACTGGAAAGTTAGGACGAGGTAAAATGAATCATCTAAGGCATTAGGCATTTTTAGTCTCTATATTACTGGGCCCTGGGATGTGGTCAGAAAGAGAATTCTCCTAGTTATAACTTCTTAACTTCACTTAGTAGGTGATAAAGAACTACAAGAAAATTTAAAACTACCATTTAGAAAGTAACTTCTATGTGCCAGATGTGTGTCTTATTGTAATCTTCCTAGCCACTTTGCAGTATGGATGTCATGAACCCGTAGATGAAGAAGAACCCAAAACTCAGACTCGCACAGGCAGTGACAGTGCCAGGGTTTGAACCTGGTCTCCCTGGATTGTTCTGTTTCTGTTTATTGCAAACAGGGTCAGAGCTTTATGGAGATGAGGTTGGCATAGAGTGGAGGGAGATCAGGTGCACACAGACAGGTCATGAGGCTCTTAAAATTGTCCAATCACGAGGCAAACGAGGACCCAGTGGCCAAAGACAATGACATGGGTCGAGTTTCTGGAATCAACAGGAATTCTCTGGCATCACTCCAGGGTAAGAAACCATTTCATCACAGACTTTTTTTCTCCAAGAGGAACCCAGTCTTGAAACAAATCAGACATTTTATTCCTCAGGGTGAGAGTTCTCTAATGAAATCAGACTGTCAACAGATGCAATTTCTAGCTGATTCATAAGGGCAGATTTTCATTCTGAAAATTTCCAAAGCCACCATTTAACATGGCAAGGGTTTATGAGGACGTATTAGTCAACTTGAGTGTTTTTAGTCTCTATATTACTGGGCCCTGGGATGTGGTCAGAAAGAAAATTCTCCTGGTATTACCAATATGGCACGTTATTGAAGGCACCTTTCTCAGAACTGTGGAAATTCTGAGAGCTTATGTGTCCCTTGATCATCTTTCTTTCATTCTAGGAATTCTGTGATCAAATCTTTATCCTCTAGACTCAAAAATAATTCTTTAAAAAAACAGTGCGGAAACCCATTGAGATCATGTGTTTGTGTAATTATCCCTTCTTGTAAAGACAACTGCCCACAATGGAATTTCCCATCTTCGCCTTTGTCAGTCAAACACAAAATGTTTAACCCTTCACATTTAATCTTTCAACTTCTTGAGATCCCAAAGTATTATTGCTACTGTTACTTCTTCATTCATCTTCAAGACATGCCTTGAGGCTGGAAGGGCTTTTCCTAAACATTGGGAGCGCTTCATGAGGCAGTTGCTACTTTCCTTAAAACAGCATGCCTTAAACAGACAGTTTGATAAATCACCTGGGCGTATGCTTCATTTTAGATGGGAGAATTGAAAAAGAAAAAAATTGACTTCGCAATTCTGCACCAAAAGAATGAGTTTCACGAATGCGTCAGTTAGAGGTGCTAATATAGAATGGTTGGTGGGCTCTATAACTCCTCCATCCCACTCCCCTGATAGAGAAGTATTCCTAGGCTGGTTTTTGCCTAAAGGCTTGGGTATTCTGAATACTTCTTTGTGATTTTTTTTTTTTTCTTTTTGAGACAGGGTCTCACTCTGTCGCCCAGGCTGGAGTGCAGTGGCGAGATATTGGCTCGCTGCAACCTCTGCCTCCCGGGTTCAAGTGATCCTCCTGCCTCAGCCTCCCCAAGTAGCTGGGATTACAAGCATGTGCCACCACGCCTGGCTCATTTTTGTATTTTTAGTAGAGACGGGGTTTGACCAAGTTGGCCAGGCTGGTCTCGAACTCCTGACCTCAGATGATCTGCCCGCCTCGGCCTCCCAAAGTGCTGGGATTACAGGCATGAGCCACCATGCCCAGTACTCTTTGTGATTTTTTGTTGTTGGAGTCATTCCTCTGCTAGTGATGGGCACCATCAAGGCAGGCAGTCCCTCAATGTGGTGGCTGTTCCGGCTCCTTCCCCGCTCCTCTTCTTGCCCAAGGATGAGCAGAAACTTTACAGATAAGGAGAGAATTCCCTCAGGAAATGAGGCATGTTGCCTGAGGTCACAGGGAATAGAATTAGCAGGAAGATAAACCTTGCAGGAATCAGAAAGTGGGCCAAAGCACTGAGGAGAGGACACCGGGAGGGCGTGAGTTTTTGACAGATTTCTCTCCGTAAAATGAGGAGGTCACCCAGGGATCTTGAAACTCCCTTCCAGTTCCTTCACTCTATGTCAAGAATTACAGAAAGGAAATAAAATAAGCTCTGCTTAAAAGGCATTTTCAAGCTGGGGAACTTTGGGATGAAAAAGTTTCCCAAATGAAGACATACTGGCAGGGTCAGGGTTGAGCGACTGTAGTGTGTCAATGCACCAAAGCCTGATGTCTCCTTGTGGGTTATTTCCAGCTCTGAAGAAGTACTGCCTGGCAGCCAGCATGACCCATTGCTTTTGTAATTGCTGCAGCTGCAGGTGTCAAGGCAAAAACTCCACTCACTCAATTCTCAAAATCTATCCAATACCTTTTATGCCCCCTTTCAATACTATAGGAAATGTAAAAATGAGCAAGACATAGTCCTGATCCTTAAGAGAGTCGTAAGCTGGTGAGGAGAAAGGCATGTATATAATCATAGTAACACAAGTCATATGTGGTAAGATCTACTGAGCGTGGGGCTATCAGAGAAGGCTTCATGAGGGT